AATATAAAAAAAAAAAAATATAAAATCTCAAAAAAAAAAGTTTCTTTTTTAGCTTAAAAAAAAAAAAAAAAAAAAAAAAAAAAAAAGAATGAATTAGTTTAATAAATAAAAAGTGTGTTCTTAAAAGAACTTTATATAAGCTTACCACTCAAATAATCAGTATATCCTCTTTTTTCTAGTAAAAGTATGATTGATTTTGCAACAACAAAACCAAATACGGCAAGTGTGGAAAACCACCACACAAATGGATTTCCAAGTAAATAAATTTGACGTTCTTGTATTTCATCTTTCCAAAATTCAACACCTTTTGTCAAGAATAACCATGATAAAGGGTTACGTGGTTTATCATGATACCTTTCATTACGGTATTCCCACATTGCTTTATTAAGTTCAAAGAATCTCTGAAGGAGTCCGAGCTTTTTATAACTAACCATTTCGGTATCTTGTGGTACTATTTGATAGATAAGTATGATAACAATTATTAGTTACTTTTTATAAAAATAAAAATAAAATATTAACAAATTGTATTATATGAATGTAAATAACGTACAATTTGAATGAGAATTTGTTTCTATGTACCACAGCGAATTTTCGTAAATACCGTTCGTGGCACAAGTAACTTCTAGTTCATTAGAACCCCCAGATGGCAATTTAATATAATGTGAAAAAAGATAACATCCAGTTTCATAATTATATAGACGAAATTTTGTACGAAGCGCACGAAGACGTTTTTTAGATTCCGGATCCGATTTATCATGATCAGCAATTACTATATGCCAAAGATCGGTAGTATCTATAAAAGACTCATATGAACGAGCACTGCAAGATAATATTTTAATAAATTTGTAAACTCAAACTTTTTTGACATTCAAAATCATTAAAGTCTATTCACCTAACTTCATATTGATAATCAACATCTGAAACTGGTGCCTTAGTCATGTTGCTATGTAAACTCCTACCAGTCTTGACATGTTCAAGATGAATTACTGCATCATCATAAACCCATTCAAGATCATCATCATCCGACGGGTCTTGAGGTTCTTTAAGGTATTGAGGTTCTTGAGATTCTTTAAGATATTGAGGTTCTTGAGATTCTTTAAGATATTGAGGTTCTTGAGGTTCATAAACTTCATAAGGTTCATAAACTTCATTAGGTTCATAAACTTCTTCAGTTTCATAAACTTCATCAGGATCTTGAAATTCATGAGGATCTTCAGGGTCCTGAAGTTCATGAGGTTCTTCAGGGTCTTGAAGTTCATGAGATTCTTTTTGAAGTTCATGTGGCTCTTCACGGCCTTGAAGCCCATGTGGTTCTTCAGGGTCTTGAAGCTCATGTGGTTCATCAGGGTCTTGAAGCTCATGTGGTTCATCAGGGTCTTGAGGCTCATGAAGGTTTTCAGAAAATCGAAAATTTTTGATAGTCCAAAAATTATTATCATCATTACTATTATGCAAAAGCAAACTAACTTGATGATCTAAGTGGATCAAACCTTATGATTAATGGAAAATTTTGAATCTTGATTTTAGAGAATGAAATTATACATACGAATATCATCTTCCATAGATCTTGAATAAGCAACTTGAGGAGAATTTAAGTAACCTAATGTATTAACATGCCTAAGAGTTATGGTAGACCCATATGCAACATCTGTAATAGTTTATAAATATTAAGAAAAAGGGAAAACAATTATCATAATCAAAAAGTTTGTAAAAATATATGTAAAAACCTATAGGCGTATCATTCATGCTATGCTCATTTAATGTTTTTATGTACTCAGGACTTACGAAAACTTCATCATGGCTACCATTTTTCATGATTATAATATGAATGAGAAAGAAAGTTATGTACAGAATAATAGGGATAACTATTAAACATAATGCTTTAGCTAAAAAATGCTTGGCATATTGTTTCTAATTATGAAAAAACAAAATTAACGTTAAATGAAATTTTTAAGAGAAATTTTAAATTTATATACAGTAATTTATATTTACATACAGACGATATGCGTAAGTCGCATAATAAATCCCATAGATATTTTATCGCTAAGAGACCAATAAAGGCCATCGTAGATAAACCATCCAAACTCGCACTGAAAATTTAATCCATTTAACATAGTATACATAATATTATAATTAGCCAAAAATGCAAATCTACGAACATACCTTACTGTGAAACCAAGGCCTATTCCAGTTAATACCATCCAAACCCACCACCATAACTTAAATGGTCTGAAAATTAAATAATATTTAATATGATGTGATTTATGGACCAATTTAATAACATTTATGTAATGGTTAATGGATATATCTATTCATTTGAAAATATACCTTTCGTTTTCGGTGTAAAATTTAACCCACATCAACAACGTAAATGCAGTAAAAGTCAATAACGGTGAATTGTGTAAGATAAATCTGCTTTGGGTTATCAACCCATTCTCTTTTTTATTTAAAAATAAAAAAAATAAAAAAAGTTAACATACTAACTAGTTAAATTATATATTTAGTAATGCTGATACTTTTAAACCACACAATTTAATATCATAAATTCCCATTTAATTGCGCGGATTTAACAGTCGTGAGTTCTATTAAAAGTACGCCAGCTAATCATAAAATTTTATTATTATTCGGTCTTACCAAATATAAATAATGTAGAGATTAAAAATGCTGCAATTGTTGAAAACCCGGCAGATTTAATTGTTAAATATGCAATCGGTATTACAAAAATTCCTAGGATTCCTGATACCAAACGCATGGCCACATACGGAACCCCATGTTGAACAAAATCACTATTTAAAAAGATAACCAAAGATGTATCATTAAATAAGAAAATTGAAATTGAATTGAATATATATAAAAACCTACTCTCTCTCATAATAACTAAAATCACTGTCGAATCCACACAACGAACCAACGAAGCCGAAAATTAACCTTATTAATGGTGGATCATAATCCAAAAAGAAACTGCGCTTAATATAGCTTCTAAAAAAATGTGTTAATGAATTAGATGAATTATTCGATTTAAGAAAATTTTTAAAAATAATGAATATTATCCTTACGAGACATAACTTCCAAAGTGATTCTCATTAAATCTGAATTACAAAATTGCACCCCGTTTAATTAAATTAATCAGAGATTGATAAAACAAATGAGCCAAGATTTTACCATACAAATACATAAAGATATTAAACCAAACTAGTTCTGATAATATATTAAATTTATATTTATTTTAAAACTATATAGTTACGTAAAAGGTTTAATATCTCTAGCCCTGTATTAGGTATAGTGTATTAAAAATGCATATATATATATTTATATATATATGCAAACTCCTGATTAAAGCCGTAATCTTTTACTTGTTCGTAATTCACAAAATAATTCATGATTTTGCATATCTGTGCATTTTTAATGCATTATTTTAAAAGTCGAAAAAAATCATCTCTGCTTACACTACTGATGTCGGATAGTTTATATTGTATAATCTTACAAGGAAAGAAACTATAATAAGTCCAAGGAGATTATACCTATCATAAATAGGCATATCTATAAAAGGTTTAGAAATTTTCTTTTTTTTTAAACCATCTTCTGAAAAATATGTATTAAATGATATGTATTTATTATAATTTTGTCCTTTTTTTCGATATTTTATTTTTCCTGAACCTAAAAACAAAGGTTAGAGCCTACATATATTTATGTTTAAAAAAGTTGTGAAATTAATTCATACCTAATTGATATGCTTCGAGACTTTCGCCATTTAATTTAAAAGTCATATTGTTCCTTTGATGAGGTATTATAATGACTACGTCTCAAAGCAAAATTTTTCATGCTTTATATATTATTTTTTATTGTTAATTTTTTTTTTGTTACAAAAATATAGAAATATAAATATAAACAAAAATACACCAATGATTAAACGCAAAATTTACTTAAATGGTTAATAACGATAATGTGCACATATCATTGATTAAGATTTAGCCTAGAAAAATAATTTATGGGAATTATGGTTGTACCATTGTTTTACAGCTGTTCTCCTAAATTCTGTGAATCACCCAGGACGGCCCCCGGAAGTTCAGGAAGTTTGTTTCATATAATAATAATAATCATCAAAATTTCAATGTAAAAAAAATTGATTATGTTATTATACAGTTATATGAACGAACTTTCATGAAGAACTAATAACTGTTGCGGCTTCTGTGGTCAGTGTTGTACGCGGACGTTGTCCCGTCAAAATTGCACGGACACGGACAGTCCCGGACAGTGTCCCATGTCCCGGAC